GTAGAACTTAATTTTTTTTCTTTTTTTGGCAAAAAGGGCAAATTAAGCCCTGCATTCGGAAATTTTATGAAGGCTTTATTTTTTTTTGGTAAATATAATAATAGGTTATAAAAGAAGATAAAATACATTCTTTTCTCAAATTTCTCCTCATTCAATTTAAGATTCGAACATAACATTTTTAATTTGAAATCCTATACACTTAACTAGTTGAGCAACCCCTAAGGCACAAGGCTACATTAATGAAGGCAAATCTCCAATTATAAGATTTTTTTTTTTGAAAAGCAAAAGAATTTATTAAATGTGGAATACTAGGGGTACTCCAACCCGTAGTTTACATACATTAGCAGGTGAAAATGATTTTCTTAATCACCGGCTTCTGCAGAAAAAATGTAACAAATTAAAGTCTTGGAAAAAGGGTCCAGTTCAAACTCTTTCTTTCATGTTAACATTGCTCTTTAAACATTTGGTTGGGTTTTCGCACCAATCTTGTAAAGAGAACCCATCCAATTATAAGATTTAAGTCAATCAAGGAGAACCTATTGGGAAATTAGTGGTTCCTTCCTTTTTTATGTTGGCAAAATTATAGGATTTTTTTTTTTTTTTTTTTTTTTTTTTTTCTCAATCCACGCCCTCGCCCGTCCGTGGCTGTGTTGTGTACATATATACTCCTAGCTATATATATATATAAATGGTGTTTTAAAGTTCATTTTTTTAAAATTTTCTAATATTTTTTTGAACGGTATAAAACTTTTTCGAGGAAGGGTGAAGAGGGACTTGAGATTTGATTTTAAGTTCTCTAGTTCTAAGCACGTCTGGCAAGGGAGTGATCATTAGGCCACTAAGTGTTGGACAACATTTTTTAATTAATATAAGTATATAAGTATATAAGTATATAACTATCTAGTATTGCAAATTTAGTTTTATTTTTTTAATATTAGTAAAAATTCATGGATTAAGGAAACGAGTATTTCTTTTCTTTTTTTTTGCTGTGTCTTCTTGATTTTACCAACGAATGGTTGGATCAAGTGGCAAGCGGTTTATTCCAGCTTAAGCAAAATTTCAAGTTCGAAACCTTGTGTACGCAGCAGCCTTCGTTGGGAGACCCACCCACCATTCTAGTGCGCCACAGCTGGTCGAGTCCGGAGGAGTTGGGGCGAAGCCCCAGATACCGAGCGGGAAACCAAAAAAAGAAATGAGTATTTCTTTCTTATTTTTTTATCTGATAATTAATAACTATCATTTTTAAGATCATTTATATATTTACTTATATTAG